TGAATGATGGATGGAGGGAGCAACTGACTTGACAGACAGGGCAGGACGGACGACGGACGAACGCACGCACGCATGGACAGTAGCGACGGCGACGAAAGCTTAGCAGACGAAGATAGACAGACAGGACAGCCTGACAGACAGACAGATAGATACATTCATACATACACACCCACATGCGTGTGCACACACACATACATACATACATACATATATATATACACAAGTCGATTCATTGACTGATTGATTTATTAATTGATTTATTGATTTATTGATCGATCAATCGATCGATCGACCGCCGCTCACCCGTTGTCCGCGTCTGCTGCTGCTGCGGGTGAATCTCGTGCACGGGCTCCGACAGCGACCACTCGCCCCGCTTCGCGCCCCCTTGCTGGCGAGGCGGTGCGCCTACCTGCGACCTCTCCACTACCACCCCACTCCCACTTACACTCCCACTCTCTCTCGTACTCTCTCGCTCTCTCTCATTTCTCTCTCTCTCTTTCTCTCTCTCTCTCTCGCTGCTCTCTCTCTCTCTCTCACTCCTCTCTTTCCTTCTCTCGCATGTGCCGCTCTCTCTCTCTTCTCTCGTTCTCTCTCTCTCTCTCTCTCTCTCTCTGTCTCACTCTCTCTCTCTCTCTTCATCGCTCGCCTCTCTCTCTTCTCAACACTCTCTCTCTTCTCTTTCTATCCCGCATCTCTCTCTCTTTTCGCTTCTCGCTCTTCTCTCTCTCTCTCTCTCTTTCTCTCTTCTCTCTCGTCTCCTCTCTCGTCCTCGCTCTCTCTTGTTCTCTCTCGCATCTCTCTCTCTCTCTCTCTCTCTCTCTCTCTCTCTTCTCTCGCTCGCTTCTCTCTCTCTCTCTCACTCTCTCTCTCTCTCTCTCTCGCATATCCCCCGGTTTTCTCTCTCTTTCATTTTTCTCCGCTCTCTCTCTCTCTCTCTCTCGTCTCTCTCTCACTCTCTTCTCTCTCTCTCTCTTCTTTTCTCTCCCCTCTCTCTCCCTTTCTCTCTCTCTCTTTCTTCTCGCTCTCTCATATCTCTTTCTTTCTCTCTCTCTCATCTCTTCTCTCTCGCGCTCTCTCTCTCTCACTCTCTCTCTTTCTCTCTCTCTCTCTCTTTCTCGCTAGCCTCTCTCTCTCTCTTCTCTCCTCTCTCGCTTCTCTCTCTTTGTCTCTCTCTGCTGTACTTTCTCTCTCTCTCTCTCGCTCTCTCTCTCTTCTCTCTTTCTCGTCGCTCTCTCTCTCTCTCTCACTCTCTCTTCGTTCTCTATCCCCTTTTCTCTTCTCTTCTATCCCGCTCTCTCTTCTCACTCTCTCCTTCTCTCTTCTCTCCCTCTCTCTCCCTCTCTCTTCTCTCTTTCTCTCTCTCTCTATCTCTTCTTTCTCGCTTTCTCGTCTTCTCTTATCTCTTCGCTCTCTCTCTCTCTCACTCTTCTCTCTCTCTTTCTCGCTAGCTCTTCTCGCTCTTCTCTCTCTCTCTCTCTCTCTCTCTCTCTCTTCTGTTGTCTCTCTCTCTCTCTCTCTCTCTTCTCTCTTTCTTTTCGCTCTCTTTTCTCTCTCTCTCTCTTTCTCGCGTCGATCGCTCGTCTCTCTCTCTCTCTCTCTCACTCTCTCTCTCTCCCCTTTCTTTCTCTCACCCCCCTCTTTTTCCCGCTTTCTCTCTCTCTCTCTCTCTTCTCTCTCTCTTTCTTCTCCGCTCTCCCTCTCTCTCTCTTTTCTCGCTCGCTCTCACACTCTCTCACTCTCTCTCTCTCTTTCTCTCTCCTCGTTCTCTCTTCTCTCTCTCTCTTCTTTCTCGCTCTGTGCTCTCTCTCTATCTCCCTGCTGGGAGGCGCGGGCGGAACCTGCGATCTCTCCCACTTCCCACTCATTAACTCCCACTCCCACTCCCACTCACACTCCGCACTCAATCTCACACTCTTCCACTCTCTCTCTCACTTCCTCTCTCTCCTCTCTTTCTCGCTAGTTCTTCTCTCCTCTCTCTCTCTCTCTCTCTCTCTCTCTCTTCTCTCTCTCTCTTCTGTCTCGCTCGCGCGCTCACTCTCTCTCTCTCTCTCTCTCTCTCTCTCTCGTCCCCTCTCTCTCTCTCTTTCTCTCTCTCTCTCCTTTCTCTCTCTCTCTCTCTCTCGCTTCTCTCTCTTCTCGCTCGTGCTCTCTCTTCTCTTTCTCTTTCTCGCTCTCTCTCTCTCTCTCTCTCTTCGCTCCTTCTTTCTCTCTTTCTCTCCTTTCTCTCTCTCTTCCTCTCTCCACTCTCACTCTCTCTCTCTCTTTTTCTTCGCTCGCTCTTCTTTCTTTCTCACTCGCTCTCTCTCTTCTCTCTCTCTTTCTCTCTCTCTTCTATCTCTTTCTCTCTCTCTCTCTATTCTCTCTCTACTTTTTCGCTCGGCTCGCTCTCTCTCTCCTCACGTCTGTCTCGCTGTCTCTCTCTTTCTCTCTCTCTCTCTCTTCTCTCTCTCTGCTCTCTCTGTCTCACTCTCTCTACGCCTCGCTCTCTCTCTCTCACTCT